GGCTTTCTGGAAGGGAAGAGGCACTACTGAAGCCGAGTCCTGGAGGATGAGCGCGTTGTGGGGAGCGTCCTTCCCACGGCCGAGGTTCCAGCATAACCTCCCTTCCTGCCTCAGTGGAAGGCGAGTCCCAGCTGCAAGCTTTGGGTCTCCTCGTGGCCAACCTTTGGGAGTACTTTCCCCACCTGCCCCTTCCTCGCCCACCCTCATCTGCAATCTTTCTTTCTCTGCTGCTTTTCTCCCTGCTGTGTAAACACATTCAAATATATTTCATCTTAAAATTAAAAAAAAGACCCTAATTCGTGTTTAAACCAGTTGCTGTCAAGTAGTAGACCCCAATCATGGCAACCCATGAGGGTCAGAGTTGAACTGTGCTCCATAGGTTTGCAATGGCTGTGACTTTTCAGAAGTAGATCACCAGGCCTTTCTTCCGAGGTGCCTCTGGATAGACTCATACCTCCAACCATTTTGTTAGTAGTTGGGCGCATTAACCATTAGCGCCACCCAGGGACTCCTAGTCTGCATATAGTTACCACCCTAGGTTCTTCTGTTCACACAAGCATCTTGGAAGAGGAGTCCACCTCACCCTCACACTTCCCTCCTCACACATCGGCAGACAGGCTTCTGCCCCCAACTTCCCCTGAAGCCTCTGGGGCAGGGTCCCAGTGTTCTTCAGCCAGTGGGTCCTTCCCTGACCTGTATGTGACATCTGACACTGTCGTCCATTCCCTCCTTTCAGAAACTGTTCCCCTGGGCTTCAGTGACAGCCTCGTCTTCCTTCGTGATGGTCCTTTATTCTTGATGTCCTTTGAGGTACCTCTGTCTTTACCAGCTCCTCAAATGTGCGTGCGTCTTCAGCCCTCCACAGACAGCTCCTCTCACGCGTCCACCATGCCTTTGGCAGCCGGCTGTGCGCGGATGCCCAGCTCAAACCACTGTCGAGCGTCGGACTCAATTCTCCAGCTGACCACCAGGCGTTTCTGCCTGGGTGTCCTGAAGAACTCTCACTCACTGTGCCCCACACTGAACTTGGCATTGTTCTCTGGGAGCCACTCTTTGTCTTGTCCTGTCAGTCTAGGTGACTGGTACCACCAGCAACTCAGTCATCACAGTCAGAACCCAGGAGTTACCCTGGACCCCTCTGTTTTCCCCCATTTCTCCTCACCCCAGCCCCCATCCAGTCGGTCACCAAGTTTTGTGATTCTGTGTCCTTAATGTCTCTGGTTGGTGTGTACTGTTGAGTCAGTTCCAACTCATAGCGACCCTTTAGGACAGAGTAGAACTGCCCCATAGGGTTTCCAAGGCTGTGATCTTTACGGAAGCAGATCACCAGGTCTTTCTCTTAAGGAGTGGCTGGTGGATTCGAATCACTGACGTTTCAGTTAGCAGCCCAGAGCTTAAACTCTGTACCACCAGGCCTCCCTAATGTCTCCTGTAGCCCTCTCCTTTCCACTGCCTTTGCCTTATTTCAGACTTACTTCTCACCTGGCTTACTGTCGTAGATGTAAAATTGTACAGTTCTCAAACACTGGCCTTCAGACAGGTGCCAGACTGGCTGTCCAAGAGTTGCTTGGAGAGCTTTGTAGCCGTAGAGACCACGCCACCCAGAGAGAGGCTGGCTCAGTTTATCTGTCTTTTTACAAAGCTGCCCCCATGGCCCTGAGGTGCAGCCTTGGGTGGGGGAGCCATTTCTGGTGATCTTCCTGCCTTCTGCCAGGTCTGCACCAGCCAGCCCTCCACATGAGGACTGTTCTAAACTGTAGACTGGATCCCAGTCACTTCCCTGTTCAAATCCTTGGTTCCCCCCTCCCACACTCCCATTCAAGAGCAAGTCCACTGACTTATATACATAGGCTTAGCTGCTTTCCTCAGCTGACACAGCTCTGTGATCCACCTCTTTCCTTTCTTTCTTCCCCAGGGCTGTACCTCCAGCAGGCACCTTGCCCTCCTGCCTTGCAGAACCGCGTTTTCCCTCAGACCTGCTGTTCCCTCTAAGGAGTCCTGGGGGCACAATGGTTCAGCTCTTGGCTGCTAACCGAAAAGTTGGTGGTTCGAACCCGCTAGCCACTCCTCAGGAGAAAGACCTGGCGATCTGCTCCCATAAAGATTACAGCCCAGGAAACGCTATAGGGCAGTTCTAATCTGTCCTATAGAGTCGCTATGAGTCAGAATCGACTCCACAGCACAGGACAATGACAACAACATTGTTCCCTCTACACGCGGTGCCCTGCCCCCTCTTGGCTGGCCAGTATTTGCTCATTCACATCCGTAGGGAATCAGCGTGAGGCTCTCCCCAGAGGCTGACCCACCCCCTATGACAGCACGCAACTCACCCTCCGGGTTCACCCGTTGTCTGACACATATACCCCCTCCCCTCAGTATCGTTAGAGCAGACGCTGCTGCGTGTGTGCATGTGTGTCTGTGTGAGAGAGAAAATACCTTTCACCTACAGCCTGCCAGACATGTCCAGCCCCTCCAGTTTCAGGGCCGTATGTCTGTCCTTCTAGGCGATGATGAAGTCATGGACTCCATCGGTCTGTTTTGCCCTCAATACCGTAATGGATACGTGCTTAAAAAGTGCCTGCCGGGAAACTGCTCATCCTTTCAGGCTGTCTGAAGGAAATAATTGACACTCGTCACTTAGGAAGCACTTGATCTACAGTAATTTCCCTCAAAATAAAACCATGAAGCATCAATGAGTGACGTTCCGATATTTTATGCCTCTCCTTCTCCCCCGACCCCGGCATTAATCATCACTCTGCCAAGCTGGAAAGCAGCTTGCTCGGGGTAGGGGTAGGGGGTCAGTCGGACAGTGCGAGCAGCTGTGGTCATGTGTGAGGGAAGGACGGAGAAGGCTGGATGATAATCTCCTGTGTAAAAGGGACCATGGTTTGATAAAATATCAGACCTGCTTTTATGTAATAAGTTAAAAAAAAATAAAAATACAGGTGTCATTGAGTTGACTCTGACTCACAGTGACCTCGTGTGTCAGAGTAGAACTGTGCTCCATAGGGTTTTCAGTGGCTAATTTCTCAGATGTAGATCCAGGCCTTTCTTCCAAGGCACCCCTGGTTGGAGTGCAGCCTCCCACCTTTCACTTAGTAGCTGAGCACATTAAGTGTTTGCACCACCCAGGGACTCCTTGTCATAAGTGGGGGTGTCAGATTTGGATGTAGTCTGTTCCCCTTGCCTTTCTTTGCCTTTTTCCTGGAGAAGCAGTCCCTCCTGACCTCTGTCAAGGGAGCACGCTAGCCTGCGCACTGACTTCATTTTCGGCACAGTGGCACTGGCAGAGTGTCCAGGGTCTAGAGGCCAGCTGAGGGGGGCAGCAAGGGAGTCCTGCATGCACACACAAAAGTTGGCGGGGGTGCATCCACCTGCCAGCCGAGGATATCTTGCAAGCCCAGCATGTTAGAGAGGATCAGATATGTCATTAGTCTGCTATCCGGGCATTGCCTAGAAGCCAGGTAAATGCTCCAAGAGCTCCCGTGCTGCTGCTTTCTGGGTCTGGGCTGAGATCGTGTAAGATGGCACGGGTTGTTTGCACCCCTCTGCCATGTTTTCACGGTGGTCCGTCACCTGGCACCAGCAGGCTGTGCTAGGGGGTGGGGAGGATGGGCACACCAACCCCGACCAGGTAGAGTTCTGCATGTTGCATAACTCTTCAGTAAGGACTTGTCAGATGATTGTGTGAGGAATAAAACTGGGCAGAGTGCCTTTGTAGCCCTCCGGTGTTCCTGTTCTCAGGAAAGTTTGCACTCCTTTCCCGTGAGGGTCTGTTTGGAACGTTGTCCACACAGGATCTTTTCCTTACCCCTGGCCTCCCCGAACCAGCTCCTGGCATCCATGTTTCTGTCAGGGATCTTTCTTCATTCCAGCCACTGGGACACAAAATCCCACAGACACCCCCTCACTCCAACATCTAGGCAGTTGTCAGGGGTCCTGGAATGCAGCATCTCACGCTCACTCCTCCATGGCTGTCATGCCTTTAGGCCCCATCACCTTTACCTGCTCTGGTCTCCTCATGGGCTTCTGGGCTCGCTCTCCTTCCATTCACCCATCAAGCTGAGGTGCTCCCTGCCCAGCCCTGTGGCTCCACACTGGCCTCCTCGCTTAGCCTGGCTTCCTGGGCTCACCCTAGTATGTTTCCATCCCCCTTTCCCAGCTCTGTTGATTCATTCACACACATCTGTGGAGCACTTTCTATGCTGGACACTGATAGATTCTGGGGACAAAGATGAAAAAGTCACAGGAGCTGTCCTTGAAGGGCTCACAGCTGGGAACGGGAGGCGGCCATTGTACGAATAAGTCAGCGCAGAGCAGTGCTCACGGTGAGGTGGTGGGGCAAGGAGCGGAATGGTAGACTCTGCCTGGTTGACCTGGGGTGAGGGAGTGGGATTAAGAAAGGCATTCCAGAGGAGGAGATACCTGAGCAGAACTTGAGGAGTGGTTGATGGGGGGTCTGAGATGTGGGGGGCACATGGGTGCATTCCTGGCACCCCTCTACCACACGCCCTGTATTATAACTATCCTGTCCACTCGCTGCTCCCCAAACACACTCGCCCTCTCCAGCTGTTCCCCGTGAGGGCGCCATCATGCCTCCCCTCCTGCTGAAATCTCACCCATCCTTCCAGGGCAGGCTCAGATTTGGCTCCTCCTGAACCGTGCCTGACCACTGTCTTCCTCCTGGCCTGCCTTCACCATTACGCACCTCTGCTGCGGCCTTGGTGTTGTTTGTTGACCTTCCTTAGTCTCCCCAGCCATACAGCCTCCTTGAAGGACTCTCTTGACCGCTGAACTGAATAATGAGCATTTTTCTGAGCCAAGAGCAAAAAGCAGAAGGAAATGTGCAGTGGACTGTGTACGTTCTTGGCTTTTTTGTCAGTGTAGTTTGGGTGGTCAAGGTGTGTGAAATAATGCGGCACCTGCTGTTTACCTAGGAACACCCCTGGTGCCGGGAGAACATGCTCAGAAGCACCTTTTCCTCTCTCTTCTTGTTGTAGGGTTTGATGACCTTAACGTGTGTGCTGACCCAGGCGTCCCCGAGAATGGCTTCAGGACCCCCAGCGGAGGGGTTTTCTTTGAAAGCTCTGTGACCCGGTTTCACTGCCAAGACGGATTCAAGCTGAAGGGCTCCACAAAACGACTGTGCATGAAGCATCTTAACGGGACCCTGGGCTGGATCCCAAGCGATAAGCCCATCTGTGTGCAAGAAGGTAAAGTGCTTTCCTCCCTGTGCAAGTGGCTCCTGTGGCTTAGCTTGACGGGCCACGGGGGTACACACTGTGTGTGACGGAGGGGTGAATGCCCTGGGCTCTTCTCCCTGTTTCGGGGCTCCACCTGCATGCTGACTGTAATGAGGGCCAGGGTCGGGGTAGGTTATTCTCAGCATTAGGAGTAAGAGTCTTCCTTCTCTATCTCCATTACAACCCAATCTGTCACCATTTTTGTCAGTGCTGGAGAGCAACTCAGATAACATTAGGGCTGTTTATTATTAGGCTTACAACTCAACATTCATTTCGATGTTACTCAATAAAAAGCAGTAGATACATTGTCCCCAAACTGTGTATAATGATACTGAAGATGTATGTTACTCAGAGGATTAAATCAGTTACTACTCAGTTCTGCGTTCATCGGAGCTCACTTAAGAACAGAACAGTGGCAGGCAAGTGACAGCTTGATAGAGTAGCTGTCTGTTTCTGGCAGTTATCCCTAAATGTATTGGTGGTGACAAGATAATCATTTACTTCTAGTAATTGTTGAAACAACTTGATACTTCTCTTGTTTTTACTCTGTGTAGATACATTTAGGGTTTTAAAAAATGGGTCGAGTTTAACAAATTGGAATGCCACGTTGTTGGTAAAGAATCTCAGAGGACCAGCAAGGCTGAGGTAGGAATAGGCATGAGTCAAGAATTAATTTTAGCCCCAGATTTCCATGAGGTCTGGGACTTACATTTCATTGAGTTCATTAGAAATTAGTTTCAATTTCCCTTCATACTGTTACTGATTGTATATTGGGATGGCACTTTTATAATAATGGTTTTTAAAATATTACTCTGAGTTAGTGTGCATGTTCTTTATGACATTCTTAAAAATAGTTCACTCCTGCAAGCATATATTGAGGATCCATAATATGCCTCTTTACTGGAATTAGAAAGGATGGGTAAGATAGTGTCTTTTCCTTTAAAGTAGTTGCTCTCTTTGCTTTTATTTTCTGGGTTAAAAAAAAAAAAAGGCAAAATTAGTATAATAAGGGTTAAACCAAACCCATTGCCATCAAGTTGATTCCGACTCACAGCGACTCCGTAGGACAAGGTAGAACTGCCCCACAGGGTTCCAAGGCTGTAATCTTTACAGAAGCAGACTGCCACATCTTTCTCCTGCAGAACCACTGGTGTGTTCAAACCACCGACCTCTCAGTTAGCAGCCGAGTGCTTAACGACGGCACCACTAGGGCTCCTTATAAGAGTTAAGTTTTTTAAAAATAAAAATTTTTTGTTGCATGCAGCTCATGCAAGCTGTGGTTTCAAAGAGATTCTATTTAATTAAAGGTGCATACACATAGACCTCCATGGTAGAACCTATAGCCTAAGATGCACAGTGCTTAAAATCCAGACACGCTCAAGAAAGTCAGCGAACAAAGAACACCAAGATACGCTTCCTGAATATTTCCCAGAGATGAAGGTCCTGTTATTTTATTATCTTAAAAAAAAAAAAGTTTATCACCTTTTAGATGAACTTCTTTCCAACACTGCCTATAACTACATAATATGTAGTAATTCCAAGAGAAGGAATAAAGCGCCTTGGAGTGGGGAGGCTTTTATTGCACGGGTCTTGGTGCCTAATTCCTCACACTTAGCTCCGGTGTGTGGGAGGGGCTGTGTAGTGGGGATGGTAGATGTGAGTCAGCTCTTTTATTATGCAGCGTAAAACAGACCGGTCATGATAGTGAGCTCTGATCGTCATTTTGGAAAGTATGCAAGAACAGGTTTATTTACTTTAATATTTATGATAGTTTTGTTGGTCTTTGAAGGATCTGTATAAGAAGATCGCTTTTGTTTCCCTGACGGTGGAGAAAACATCATTGTTAATATCCTAAACCAAAACCTGACCAGTTGCCATTGAGTTGATTCGGACTCATGGCAACCCCGTATGTGCAGAGTAGAACCGAGCTCCATAGGGTTTTCAAGGCTGTGACCTTTCAGAAGCAGATCGCCAGGCTTTTTTTTTGAGGCCCTTCTGGATAGGTTCAAACCACCAACCTTTTGGTTAGTGGTCGAGCGCTTAACTGTTTGCACCACCCAGGGACTCCTGTTAATGTCCTAGGCCTTCTTTATTCCGTGTTGTTTACAGGTCTGAGACTCGGGGGGAGGGGGACATTTGGGAGTCTGTACCATGGACATCACATAGCAGTGAAGAAGGTAAACTTATTTTTTTCTGCTTTGCAAATGGCCTTTGCTCCCTGGTGAGAATTTATGCCGGGCAAATAGTAAGGGCTGCTGAATTCACTTGTTTCCCTTGTCAAGTAACTTTAGAAGGCTTATGAAAGTTTGTAGTGGTGGTAATAATAACAATAATTGATCACATTTTATAGCTCATTGAAGCTGAAAGGTGCTTGCAGATTCATTGTCTCATTGAACATGCTCAACCACCCTAAAAGATGAGTCTTGTTGTCCCCATTTCCGGATGAGAAGACAGGCTCAGAGCGGTTCGCCTTGCCAAGGTCACATAGCTGATGAGTAAGTAGCAGAGCTGGACCTGGTTTTGAGCAAGCATTTGTTTCTCTACAGGTTTGCGTCGGACCTTCTTTGTGTCACAAAAGCACCATCTAAACCCTTGGGTGGTGCAGATGGTTCAGTGCTGGACCACTGACCATAAAGGTTGGTGGTTCAAACCCACCCAGAGGCACCTCAGAAGACAGGCCTGGAGATCTGCTTCTGAAAGGTCACAGCCTTGAAAACCCTGTGGAGCACAGTTCTACTCTGCACTCATGGGGTCTCTGTGAGTCAAAACTGACTCGTGGGCAGCTAGCAACAACAGCAGTCAATGACCCAGGAGCAAATTGTTAAAATAGATGGCATCGTAAAGTTTCAGGGATGAAAGGACTCAGAAGTCATGTAATCCAAGCCCTCATTCTTGTTTAGCTTCTGTTTGACCAAGAGAGAAACTGAGGCTCGGAGGAGTTAAGAGCCTTCCCAGAGTTAAGCGATGATTTAGGGACAGAACTTTTTGAGCCTCAGGTCTCGTCACTGTCACCTGGGCTCCTTCCAGTCTCCCAGCTCTGCCTTAGACACAGATTTAAAAAAATAAGTTCATATGCTTTAAAATGCTTTTTAACAGTAAGTGCCCTACAGACGCAAGGTGGTGGTAGGATCTCTTGTACAGATCACACAGATTACTCTCTTACTGTCCACCTCACTCTGCCACACCTACCAGCCATCCTCTGGTCTCATATGGCCCCTTTATTCCATCTGCATTGCTTATTTCATGCAAACTCAATTTATGGAAGTTTGGATGTACAGGCTTTTAATACAGGGAATGAGTTAATTGTATAGACCCCAGAGCTTTTAACTTGAGAGATGTCTGTGCTTCTTCAAGCCGCTTCTACAAGACTGGAGCCTGCCTACCCCTAAGCATGGGTGTAAGGGTTCACGGCCCTGGGAGCATGGCAGGTGACCAGCTTGGTGGTGGGGAGACCATGGAGTTGGTAAAGGACTGCAAGTGAGCCCCATGGACACGGCTTCTGACATGGTAAGAACAGTGACTAAAGGTCAGTGTGACGGCCACTTCTTTTCAAAATCACTCAACTGGGGGTCTAGTAGGGGATACTTCCCCCTAGGTAAATACACTCCTCCTATCCCATATTTTATAAGAAAATGTAGTGGTGAAATAAGATTGACTTTACGTAAATGCACTTTTTTGCTTTGTGTGCCGTTGAGTCAATTCCAACTCATAGCAGCCTATATGACAGAGAAGAACTGCCCCCATGGGGTTTCTTAGGCTGTAATCTTTACGGGAGCAGATCGCCAAGTCTTTCCTCTCGTGGAGCGGCTGGTGGCTTCAGACCCTGCTACCTTTCGGTGAACAGCTGAACACTTAACCATTACCTTTCTGTTAGCAGCCAAACACTTGACCATTGTGCCACCAGGGCTCCTTAAATGCACTTTATAATCACCTGTGCAACACATATGTCAAATCAGCACATACAAAGATGTTGTCCCCACCCTTAAAACCTCACAAGGGGTGGGGGTTAGCGCTGTGATTTAGGCTACGATTTGTTTGCACAGCATAAAGCAAGTAATATATTTTTAAAAGAAATATCCCAAAGGGACTAAAATAAAATTAATTCAAGATCCATTTATATTATGAACAGATATATTGGTGTTGGGGGGACAGTAATCAGCCTGTCTTGCCAAAGCCTGTTTATTATCAATATTGATAAAAACGTTTCCCTACTTAACCGTCTCTTGGTATGACTGTGATACTGAATACATGTCAGCTCTTTCCTTTTTGTATTTCTAAAAAGTGTTATTATGGCAAAATGTATAGATAGCATAAAATTTGCCATTTTAATCATTTTTAAGTGTACGATTCAGTGGCATTAATTACAGTCACAATGTTCTGCGAGCTTCACCACTTTTTCCAAAGCGTTCTCACCATCCCAAACGAAGACTCAGCACCTCTTAAGCAGTAATTCCCCATTCCTCCTCCCAACGCCCCCGTCACCTCTAATCTCCTTTCTGTCTCTACGCATTGCATGTTCTAGATATTTCATATAAGTGGGGGTCACACAATACTTATCCTTTTGTGGCTGCCTGATTTCACTCAGTGTAGGGTTTTCAGCGTTCAGCCATGCGGTAGCGTGTATCAGAAGTTCGTTCCTCCTTATGGCTGAGTACTGTTCCGTTGTGTGGATAGGCCGAGTTTTGCGTATCCATTCATCTGCTGATGGACATTTGGGCTGATTCCATCTTTTGGCTCTTATGAACAGTGCTGCAGTGAACATTGGTGTACAAGTATCTCAGCTCTTATGTCAGTGGTTACACTAGCTAGATAGAAGTTTCTGTTGTAGTTTTTTTTTTTTAAATAAAGAACTAAATAAACAATTGCACATGGCTCCTGGGTAGGTGAGACCCTTACTTATATTACTTACGTTGTGAGACAGCGTTTTACAGCACCCAAACCCCTCCTGCCCTGGAGTTCTCATCCCTGGG